CTGCTGATCTAGCAGTAGCCTGCAGTGCTGCATTTAACCACTGCGCCACCTTGGCTCTAAAAGAAGGAGAGGGAGGAAGGGAGAAAAAAGGGAGAGTAGGAGAGGGTGAGAGTAGGAGAGAGGTAAGGGAAGAAAGAAGGGGAAAGAGAGGAGGTAGGAAGGAAGTAGAGAAGGAAGGGAGAGAGAAAAGGAAAAAAATAAGGTGGTGTCATAATAGAGGCTTGGGATGGTAATCAATACAATAGAAACTACTCTATAATTTCTTAAATGGAATGCAAAGAAAAAGAATAACCATGTTTACCTGGAATTGTATGTATGTATATATATAGCACATTAGAGATAAACAATATTTGGTTATAACTAGCTAATTATAGAAAGGGAAAATACTAACTGCAAAGAAACCAATACGGATCTGCCCTATGATTTTTGATGGAACTTTTGGTTCCCATGTTGTCCTAAGTCATGTGTTTGTTGTTGATGTATTTATGTGTGTAAAATAAAAACTTTTTTAAAAAGGATCTTCCTCCTGATAAGCCTGCCTTCACTGGCCTATTAAACCTATCCTGTTTAATTCCATTCTGCATAAGGCCAGAGCTTCGACCAAGTTAGGTGCTACCCCTAAAGACAAAACTGTTCCTTCCACATCTAAGGGCCCCAAGGAGGGTCTCTTTAAGCAAAACGCCCCTGCCCAGGAGTTAATTCCGGTTCCCGACTTGTTCATGGCTGTAGTCCAGTGCCATCCCCACCTAGTGGTGGGGATAAAAACCTCTACTCAGTAGAATCTAAGATGGAAGACATCTTAAAATTGCCTGAGGTGGATGCCCCGGTGGTTTCATTAACTTCCAAATCGCCCCTGGAGGGTCTAAAGACAGAGGACAAAAGAGCGGAAAAGGCATGTCATAAGATGCACCAGGCATAAAGGGTCCAGTTCCTTCATGAAAGGAACCATTTCAGCAGCCATTTCATGCACAAGATTCTGCACAGGCTTCTACTTCCTTCTCATACCAGGGCCATACACCCAGACTAGTGACAGGGACCAGGACAGGCAAACTTTTGGGTCCAGGGATAGGCACCAGCAGGTTCTCCTGTGTGCTGCTTGGGGAATCCAATCATGGGTTAACTTTGTCCATTAGCCTAGAGACTGAGTATGCAAATCTTGACCACGCCTCCTCTGACTGGATCGGACCAGTTTTTTTACTCAGTCCAGCCTAACGAGCCGCATTTCAATTTTCTCTCTAGACTAATCGACAAATTTCACCTTTTTCCCTTGGATTCAGCAGCCGATTGCGACTTTACTTGCTATATGTGTTTGGAGGTGGAGGTGGCAGTTCACTGCACGCCCAGATCCTCCCTACCATCGGGTTACTTGCCTGAGATCGGGGGCTGCGAGGTCCATAGGCTCTTCAGCCAGGACATAGCAGCAACGCTTGCAGGGTAGAGTTGGAGTCCCCCCCCCCCTTCACTCGATGTCTGTACGCGTCCTGGGCTGGTGCGCTGCCCTGCGCTGTATTACACCGGGAACAACCCGCCGCTGAGGCACGGTTCAGCCCAGGGGCCTCTTTCTTGCCGCGCTGTGCTGTTCTGGTGAGATCTGTGGCTTTTTCACCACGGGCTTGTGGCTTGCAAAGCTTTCCAGCGGCCATTCGAGGCTGTGCCAGTTTGAATTTCCGCGCCCTTGGAGACGGCCGCCATTTTGGTTTGGGCTTCTGCACATGCGCAGGAATCAGCCGGAGAGGGTGGGGCGTGTGATTTCACGCCCTGGCGTCGGCGCCGTTCCAACGGCCCTTCTCTTTCTCACTTGCGGCTTGCTGAGTCAGTGAGGAGGTCGTCTCAGCCAGTTACTGTTTGCACGTGGCGCTTTGTGCGGTGGAGCCTTTATTCATTTTACGAGGTTGAGCCTTTCCAAATCTCTTCCCTCTCATTACAATGGCAGACCAGTCTGGGTCCAAAGGTATTGGGGAGCCAGTTTGTGAGTCCCGTTCCCCTGGCGAGGGGGAGGGCTAGCCCTAGGCCCGGCAGGGCCGCTACTCGGGCCTCCAGCCATAGGCCTCAGGCTTCATCCGCCATTAAGGACAAGTCCCATAAGCGCAGGGATAAGTCCAAGGCCCCATCTAAGGCCTCTGAAGCACCTCATGACTCACCCCCGGTGCTCATCCCGCATTGTGCCTCTCCAGCACGCCCTACAGAGCAGGGTTGGTCACCTGATATTCAATTACCCCGGGCTCCCATTTCTGCGGAAGGGAGTTTGGGGCCCCAATTCCCTCTTTCTCTTTTGGAGCTAGGTGGGGCTTCGGCCCATTCGCCTCCATGTGCAGGGCCTTCTGCTACATTTACTGCTGCAGGCCTCAGGCCTATGGAAGGCAAGGATTTGGGCCTTCCTCCTGACTTGTACCAAATGATATCTGCAGCTATTTCTAGGGGGGTGAATGCGGAGCTGCTTCGTAGAGTCCAGTCTCCTAGAGCCACTGTGGCCCACGCAGGGCCTGATCCCCAGCCAGTGCAGGGGGATTCCTCTGTTCTCCAGACAGACCCACCCTCGCCTCTACCCTCTGTCTATAGCGAGGAGTCGGCATTAGTGGAGGAAGGCGAGGTTATTGACAGGGAATTTTCTGATGATGAGGGTCTGCCCCTGGACCAGCCTACTGCCCCTGGTTTAGTTCGACATTCTCTCTTTAAATCATTACTGTATAAGGCTAAAACCACCACCCACATGGGGGAGGCAGCCTCTAAGGACAGCACTGCAGTAGGATTAGATGCTACTGAGCGACTATTCGCTGAGCAAGTGGCCTTGCAGGATGTTATTCCCTCGCCCAAGCTATTTCTAGATCTGATTCAAAAGCAGTGGGATCAACCGACTGCGGTTAACCCACCTAGCAATGGGGATAGGAAAGTATACACCTCTACTCCTGAGTTGGAAGGTCTCCTCCAGTTTCCCACTCTTATAGCTGCCCTCGCCTCTCCAGCATTAATTCCATCCGAGATTTCGGAAGGTCTAAAGGCAGAGGACCATAAGGCCGAGACAGTCATTCGCAAGACTCATCAGGCTGTGGCCTGGGCCTTACGCTTGGCTACAGCAGCGTCCTTTAATAGGACTTCCTTGGTCTGGCTTAAGCAAT